ACGACGGGCTACTTGCAATGCTAATTCCTTGTCCATCTGCTTCCTAATCGGATCTCCCAGCGGAGGTTCCGCGGGAGCGAAAAGTTTGAACCGCAGTGCGGTTCCCGTGCCTCGATCCCCCATCCCCGAACGTCTGGGAACGAGACAGGGCAGCCACCACCCAGCAGTATTCTTGCTGAAATTTCCACACCGCGTCTTTTTCTTGCTGTCTAGCTTCGGAGGGTTCACGACCGAGTTGCATTTGTGATAAGAGACACCGACACCTTTTCACGGTCGTTGGAGGACCTTCGGTCTCCTTTGGGACACGCGTACACCGACGCCGGGTTCGGTGCATTATTAAACACCCGAACCTGGCCAAGTCAACTGTCGGAAAATGTCGACCAGCCTGTCGTCTCGTTAATTGGTAATGGCTGCGGGAATACGTTATTCGATTCGTTCCTTCATTGATCGGCGAACGTACCGTTTTCCTTCCGTCCTTTGTCAAGTGCTAGAGGCCCTAAGAGTTTTAATAATATTATTCGAATATTTTTATTTAACATTCACTAACAATAAACATGTAACAATTAGGTTCAATGTTTGTTAATATGAGCCGTTCAGTAGCCAAAGTGACTAACTTCACTTTTTGAATCCATATTTGAAATTGTAGTGCCGAAGAACTTGATTGGTGCTTAATTATATAATTTTGCTAATTTTCTCTACTTCTTGTTTTATGGAGTTAATCCGTAATGTTATGTACAGAGAAACACCGCTAGATATTTCAAAATTTATTATAGGATCATTCTACTCGGGTTTATTATGAGGTACAAGGTTCTCCACTTTCTTTTATTGTCATTAAGAAGCTTCACTCGAGAAAGTCAATACAAGAACATATTGACAGAGCTATCGTCTCATTAATCAACGTCACAAACGTTTTTCCCCAGAAACCCGTAAAACACCATGAACAAGTCGTGTCGTTATCGATCGGTAATTATGACGAATAAAAATATCATACCTCGATTTCGCAGGCAAACTGTGTCATCTTCGAAATTAATGGAAGTCTGAAGAGCTCGCTCGAGCATAGTTCATCGCCGTTTCTATTGACACGGGTACATTGATTCCGTCAATTTTTCACACAGCCGGCGTTGTACCTAAATAAACCACAGAACCTGTGAGTTGGTATGTGTGCGTGTGTGTAAGCAAGATTAAAAGATCGGCTGTCGATGCGTTCAATATCGGCGGGAAAATCGTCGGTGATGTTCGATTTCGACAAATCGTCCCGATGATAAAGCGTTGTCGATCGGACAGCCAGAAACTCCGTTGATCGATCGGGCCTTATTTTTCCAGGGTTGTCAAACGTTGGCATCGAGAAATAGATATCGATTCGTATCGCGTGCCCTTTGCTTCCTCGCGAGCTTTTCCCAAGTTCTTCCATTATTCCCGGGCGCGAACGAGGATATCGTGTTTTTACTACGTCGACGGCCGTTAACGATCCTCCCCGTCTCTCGACGATCATAATTCGACTTTTCGTCGAGTTCCGCGGTTCGAAACACTATTCCCCGGACGAATACACAAGCGGCAAGGAATGCTCGCGAGATGTAATGCTGATTTTTTAACGAGGTTTAGCGCAGTGATAGAGGATGGAATTCTGAAGTCAATGGTATTTGTTTCAGCCAGATATCGAGGATTTATTGTATTATAGAATGTTATAGAGGGTAGTAGAGGTGCTCGAATAGGTACAGGGTGTTTTTAGATGGGTATCTCAAGCTCTACGTGGTTTGCAGAACCAATGAACGTACGCGAACAAGTCCGATTAGATGTAAACTCACGAAATACATAATCAGATATATTCCAGACATATAACATAGACAAGCAATTGAACATTACTGTAAGAATTACTTTTTGAATCTAATTCATTGATATCTGTTTTTCAATTCGAAACCAGAAAGGTTGAATTCACGTCTGTACCTCAATTTTGCAAGGATTCTTTTCGCAGATATCAGGTTCACCTTTCAAAGATAAATTCTTACTCCAAATTAGTGTTTCTTCGAAAAAATTCTTTCTCGAGAAACAGAGAGTCAAATTTCTTTTCTAGTGAAATGAAAACTATCAAGAAATCCGAAACACTATTCGAATCGAAAAAAAATTCACACGCAACCAACGGATCAGTTTCTCGTATCAAATGTTAACCTTGACCCACTTCTAACAAAATCAACACCGAACACCCCGAACGATTCTTCTGCTGTCGGAATTCATACCTTTTCTTTGTCGGCTGAAGGGTCGATCACGAAGCGTGATTTTGAGGGAAAGATGCAGGTAAACAAACATCGGGCCTCGCGGTAAACGGGGTTGCAGGCGCGACAAAAGTAAAGAGAGGAAGAGAGTCGGGCGAAAAAAGATATGAGAAAGAAAGCGACAGAGTTAGTCAGCGCGTGAGAAGGCAAGAGAGAAGAGCCTCGGGGCTGCTGGTGCGCGGGCGCGGCTTTGCGGGTCAGAGTGCGCCGGGTATATAACCGGGCGGATGCCGTCGTCCTTTAGTCTTGCGCTTATCGTCGTCGCGGCGGGCCGCTCGAACTCGATCACCCCGTTGTCGCACGCTCGCGGTGCCAATTGTCCGTTTAAACGAAAACGAAGAAAAGAAAAATTTGTTCGCCAGTGATGCCGCGCTAAGTGTGTTTCGTTCGTGTATATCATCACTTAAACCGTTCATTTGTCGAATGAAATTCTACCGATTCGATAATCGATGACATCGATCCGAAACCAGCATCAGTGACCTCAAGAAACTTTTCGAAATCGACCCGATAGAATCATGACACTTCTCGTTCTCACTTGAACGAACCAGTTGCTTCCTAACGCATAGTCTCGACGGAGCAGGCTGCGCGCAACCTGTTGTAGTCGTACATACGTGTAACTGGCTCCGAGGCGTGTAAACGGGTTCGTTACGCCGCCGAAAGTGTTCGTCGTGGGGTGGTAACTAGACGGTAAGCTAGACGCGCCGTGACACTCGACTACTACTATCGTTCACGCGTCGTCGGGTCCCACCTTGGAGGTGTGAAGCGGGAACTGGAAAGTGGCGTCGCGGGTTGAAGCATTTGTAAGTTGAGCAGAGGGACCATGAACCGGATGATGCTGGATACTGGGTCAGAGATTCGATTCCTTGGCGCGAGTAGTCTGGAAGGAAGCAGCGATAGATGAAAGAAGGAAGTGGGTGAAGAACACGAAGGGGATCGAACTAGAAAGATAGGGAAGTAAAAGTGGAAGAGAGGCAGACACTGCAGGGAATTCCAAGCTGTGCCTCTGGGCAGATACACGAGCGCTTGGTATAGGATCTATATGCACAGTAAAGTCGCGGACGATAGAAGAGCCCCGGCCAGGGCTGACTGTGTATCTGGGTCATACACCCGTCCTCTCGTGTCTGGCTGTTACCGCTGTCGCTACTCGTTTTCCATAATTTCACCGGGATTTCGCTGGCCGCAGCAGAAATAAGGGATTGACGGACCGTGGGAACGCGGATGCTCGTGGAATTAAAAGCTGAAGGAAATCGAGGGAACGCACCGTAAGCACGCCCGTTTCGTCGAAGATCGGGAGGGGCGTCGTTATCTCCCTACGGTGTGATCCGACCGAAGGAAAAGTAACAAAAGGAGGACGGCAATTTTTCGTGTGGCCACGTCAACGGGGAACATGCAATCATACCAGTGCCGAGTTTTCGCTTCCTCCCGACGAAAACATTGTTCGGGCGTCCAGTGGAGCGCCTGGCTGTGAACAGGAAGTGGAATCGTCGATATTCTCGTTCAGAATTCATCGCGAAAATACGTGCTGCTAGGGACATTTAAGGGTCCTTTTCCCGCGGTTGCAGTGCGGTATTTTTTCCAGGTCCGAAAACTAACAGCTTTGTGCATCAGCTGGCCCTAGATTCTTCGTTAACGGCGGAACAAACGCGTCTAGTTGGCGTCGAACAGGTCGGTTGGTAATTGTTTGCGTAGGGTCAGTGACGCGTCGGGGCAACCCGATACCCGCGACCGTAACGAGCTGTTACGTCGTTACAACGCCGGAACAGAGAGAAACAGGCGTATACCAGGGGAGAGGAGAACAAAAAGAGAGGATAGACAGGCCACGGTCTCCCTCCTTTATAGGGACAATCCCAGTCGGACGAGCGCCACACGAGAACTATTATCCGCGGGAAGAGCAATCGGGTGCTTGCCGCGGGACCCGTTTCTCTTTAGAACGGACACATCGGACGGCGCCAGGGGGTGGTGGCGGCGGCGCACACGGGTAAATAATGAACCGCCGCAGTCATTTATCAAGCTCACCGTGGCCGGAACGAGTGCTCAAAGTAGCCTGTTTCAAGTAAATGGAAGAGTGCGACGCGAACGAGCCGGCGGCTGGCAGCAGCGAGGCGCACCGAAAGCCGACGTCGCACCACCATCCGGTACGTTCTCGCCCGCGAGAAATATAAGTGTTTGTGTGTTTGTGCGCGTGTGTTCGCCCGCTTCGTTGGACGCGGCGTGTCGCGCGGTTCAACTGGTTCCGTGATCGTAAGGTCGGTTTAAAGGGAACACGGTTCTCCTGTTGTAATTACAAGGGAACCACGGGTGAGTTGAAAGAAAAAAAAAAAAAATAGGGAACGGTTCAACGGGGCCGGTGGCGCGGTCACGGCACAAGGAGACTCTCTCTCTATCGCTCTCTCTGTCGTTCCGTTCGGTTTCGTCCGATAAAAACGGTCGATGTCGTCGTCGTGGGCGTCGTGGCCATTGAGATGCGATCACCGATCGGAGCGTGCCGCGGTCAGCCACAGCGGCCCGTTTGCCCGAGCAGCAGCAACGGCTGGATTTATCAGCTCGGCAGATAGCGGCGTATGAAAGCGGCGGGACTGGCTCCATGAGAGTGATTATCACCGACGATCACAACGACGGCAGATCGTTTATCCCCTTTTGTGTTATATACCGTGCATCTGTGTGTGTAACGGTGTGCGCGCTTGCGATACCTCGCTCGCTCGCTCGCGCCCTCCGGTTAGTTAGTGAATCATGAGACGACGGAACAACGGTTCGGCCGGCGGAGGTGGCGGTTGTTGCTGCCAGACCAGCACCAAGAGAACGGGCGTAGGACGCGGGGGTGGATGCAACGACGCGGATGGAAACGAACCGCCCGGATGGTACATTTACGCGACGGTCGCGCTGGTCGCCGTCGGTTGTTACCTGAACGCGTTAGGCGGTGATTTCGTGCACGACGATATACCGGCTGTGGTCAGAAACAAGGACGTACTCGCCCAGACGACGTGGACCAGCGTGCTGAGGGACGACTTTTGGGGCACACCGATGCACGACATCAACAGCCACAAGAGCTACAGGCCGTTGACCACGTTGACGTTCCGGTGAGTGATGATCTATTCGATTGTTCTACTTATTTAGCCATACGGGGTTTGACTCGGTTCTCGCGTTAAGGATTGCATCCTGGTCTGGGCTATAAATCTTGATTGGGGAACTCTCTTAAGGAAAAAGTTTCGCTTTTAGCCGAGAATTTATGGCTGCCTAACAGCACCGTCTGATAGGCGATTAATTTTTCGCTCATTAAAAGTTTCTTACTCTCGTTGTTTGGGCAGGATTGGTAGGATTTTTGGAATTCGGCATTTTAATTGAATAATGCGGTCGTAATGTTTGAAGTAGTTTTTTTTAGCGATATAAAAATGATTAGGCAACGACGAATTATTAGGTGGATAAATTAATTCGTGGCCCTCATAATTCATTATTGATTCAAGACTGTGATTATTTTTTCGAGAAGGAATTCGCCAACTGCCTGAGAAATGTCGTAAATTGTGAGGAAAGTGATGGGAAATATATTCAAGACTAGACTGTATTTTGATTTTTTCATAATCAAAACAGCAAATATATGAAAGGAGGGCTACAAATTAGATTGTACACCTAATAAATTTCTTCGTGTGAAACTTTGTTTCTAGAGAGTCGTGTTTGAAACTGTGTTCGGCCCGCGTGATACTAAATGGGGACATACTAATGTGTCTGTCCATCGCTCGCTGTTTCTACTAGCGTCCACCACTGTGTAAATGTTGACAGTAATGTGATCTGTGCTCGGTAATATCTTGGAACACGTGATCGCTAGCAAATATCGTAGTAAAATCAAACGTATCGCTACTCGTGTCTACAAGTAGAAACAGACAGTAATAGGCAGGCATGTTATCAGTGTCCTATTTAATTCCACCACACAGAATTTTCAACAACGAATCTCTGCGAAAATAAAGCTCTACGCGATCAAACTTTGCCATATTAATTTTCTATCGATCATGTTGACTGCCACAGTGAAAAATTCCGTACACAGTCAGACATATTTAATTTTGTTTTTCAAGCCATAAACCGTCGAAAATATACGCGTTAATTTAACGCAACAATTTCATAACGGTATTCAGTAAAGACATAACAGTCAGTGTTATACATGTAGATATATTTCCAGTCTGTTCTGAAATATCCCTGTATTAATTAACAAAATTGAAGTTACCCAAATATGACAGGCAAATCACAGGTGAATTATATTCAATATTGCCTACTTAAAGAGTTTATTCAATGATTCTCTTAGAGAATGTACCCCAAAAAATGTTCATTTATTCAATCGTTCCTTTGTACCCGGAATATCGCCAGGAAACAAAGTCATGGGAGACCCGTAACACGGGAAATAAATACGATGCCAATGGAAATCTTCGCGAGTATCACGCCCGGCAATCAGCGGCGTTATTATTAAAACGAATTCGCTCTACGGCCACAATTAGTAGACACCGTCCAGTCCCGCAATTAAAGCCGCGAATTCAAAATAAACTGGAATAAGCGGGACCGTTCCGGTGGGTTATCGCGAACGGAATAATTACACGTCGCATTTTTGTTGGACCAGCGCGCGTGAAGGTGAGCTCGTACGACACTTCAGGAAGAAATCCATGCGTGATCGCGATCGTGGGCGCCCGCGCGAGCAAACTGTTATCTCGTGCATTTCAAATGAACCGCACACCACGTAACGCATCGTTACGAGTACTCTCGCACGGGCCCGATCTCCTATCCAATTACGCGTAACAATAGTCTCGAACGTATCTACCACGGCCGCTTAATCCTGTGCGTGCACTTACCAGCGAAATTACCCGGGTGCTTGTCTTAACCGGGGCGTGATTTCCTGGGGAGTTTAATTTTTTCAAACGGTCAGCGATTAATATGACTTCGTGTAATACTACTTCGATACGTACAGCTGTTATTTTGTCGTATAATAAATGTTTTTTCAGCGCGGATACATTTAAACTACGTTTAACTCTTGTGTAGGCAAGTATATAGAAGTCTCGGTACGGTTAGTGTTAACCAGCGTAATGAATTTTCCCATCTCCACCACGTTCTTCCGTCAACGCGAGATTCCCCAATCCCCAGTAGTTCAAGTTCATATCACCCAGACAGTGCATAGCTCGAACATCAAAAGTTACTTCGTCCATACATCGGAAGATCCAACCAAAAGTTCACCGAATCATCGTTCATTTAAACCCACCTAAATTATATCCACCTGCACCGACCGCTTCATCCCCTTCGCTCGTCCCCAGAAAAACCGTTCTCGAAACTGTCTCTCTCTCTCTCTCCTTTCTCACGCTCTCCAACCAACATAAGGCTCAATGTACCGTACGGGGATCCGGCTTGGACAATTTCTCAATCGGTATATCGATTGCCCGAGTTAGAACCGGCGAATGGAAAACAGCGGCGGATACGGGTCCGAATATAGTCTCGGTTAACAGAAACATGCAGTATGGTCTCGCAGGACGTGGTCCATCCGGTCCAGTGGTCAGGTCGTGCGACAAGAACCACTCCACATCCCCATCCTCCTCGATGGACGGGTTCCTCGTGGACAGGCCCCTGGCGTGTGTTACCGTCGAGGAACAGCGGGAACAGGGCTTCCTGCTCTAGCGCCGATTTGATGCATGGATTACCAGTTTGCCACACTCTCTCCGCGACGGCAATACTGCATATTGGCTGGTATTGGGCGATCCATCATACCGCAAGACACCGGCGCATCGCTCATTCGCCTTAACGCTCCAGATGCTGTTGCCAACTTCGAACGCGCGATGGGAGAGGGAGGGCGGCCCGGTGGGTAGCCTCGTAGCTCCCACTCGGAAGGAACGACGGCGTGCACCGTCGGGCGGAAAGGGATGGTGGATGTGGAGTGAGGGAATGGTCGAGGGAGGGGGCTGAACATTGCGCTTCCGCGTTTCGCGCGTCCCAGGAAGTGGAACGCATCCATAATTCCTGAGGCTCTAAGACGAGAGAAGGCTACCAGGCGCCGGTAGTCACGTTCGTTCGTCTCGAGATTACGGGATATTAACGATCGGGTCCATCATTTCGACGAAGTTTGCATAAGCGTCTTCTAATCATCCTGTACAATCATTTTTCGCCCCCCCCCCATCCTGGAACGTTGGGCTTGATTTCGGCGGGATTAAAGAGGGAGCCCTCGTTACCGTCGACTCTCCGTCGTGGTAGATCCGCGTGGAGATAACGCGAAAGTTGCTCTAGTTTTTTTTAGAGATTTCGGGGGAGATTCTAGGTATGGATGAGATATGGTGTAGTTTTGTTTGGTGTTTTCGACTTTGACGATAGATCGGTACATATGTGGCATGATGAAGGTGTTTCGATAAGTGTCATTATAGAGGTCGATGATCCTAACACGGTCAGATTTGGAAGTGGAAGCTATGTTTGGTCGACCGTCTTGAAATTTAGCTAATAAGCAGATGATAAGTTTAAATTGACAACTGGTGGATTAATACATCCATTCTATTTCTGTCTTTTCGAAGGTTTTACTTCGAACCCGATCAAACATAATTCTATCACTCGAATTGGTGTCTAAAGATGTAATCCAATTCGTTTACCTCTATCAATCATATTTAACCCTTTGATTTTGTCCCTTCAGAGAGAACAGTCGAGTGCAAAGGTTTAACAATCTTTAATTTAAGATTAACCCGTTTAAACGACCTGCAGATCAGAACGCAATCACATACAATCTAATAAGACCGTAAAGGGATGACTTTTCTATGCAACCAACGTAGCATCAGCTAGAATCTGCTAGAATAAAGGCGTAGAAGACATATTCCAGAGTTATTGGCATGGCAACCAGGGTGGTGCACGTCTAGGGGGTACGGGATGGGGTAGGAGGAACGGCTGACTGACATACATTCATAATTGCTCTTTCTTTCGTTTGTCAAGAGCCAGGGCGCCGATTACTCTTTCTCCCTTTTGCCAGCGGGGACGCACGGGTCAAAGATTCCGAACAATTCAACCGTTCGCGTTGCAAAGAGCACTACATACGTTTCGTTCGATGTCTTTCTACCATCGCCCGCATCTACCTTTTTTCTCCCTTCCCCCTTTCTCACGTCCTTTGATCTCTTTATTGTCGCGAAACTTTGACGGGGCCCGTTTAGAATATTTTGCTACCCAGAATTCGAGGGTCGGGGAATGAAAACCTGGCCGACAATCCTGAAAGTTCGGAATGCATGTAGAGCGCCGGTTGAACCCGCGCCTTTTACCCTCGCAAACCAGGCCCACCTCCGTCACCCCCATCTCACAGCCCACCTCTCGTTCGCGGCGAAGTTTCCCAGGGATTTCCGTACGTTCCACGCGAAAGCGGCCATCAACTTTCCTACATACCTATATTCCGCGAGCACGTGCCCCTCGCAATTCCACTTTCCGCTCGAACACGAAGGCTCTCCCGCTGCCCCCGGTACTTCTGGCGGAACAATAATGTTCCGAAACTGGAGTTCGATATGGCGCACGGTTTAATAAAATTCGTCGTCCGCCAGACGATCGATTGTTTTAGCTGTTTTAAGTGAGATCTGTGCGAAAGATCAGGAATACTGCATGCAACGATTGAACTTGGATCTTTGGAAGTTTGCCTACGGAGAGTTAGATAGCAAGATGTTGTGGAAGATTGTGGTCTTTACCGATCACGATTCGTGGTTCACCCTGTATTCTTATGTCACATTGTCATATTGATAAATATGTAAGAAGTACTATAAAGAGATCCTAAGTTGTCTTAATGATTAATTCAAATAACTTACACAGAAAGCGTCGACACACTTTTCAAGGCGACTGTATCTAATCGAGTCTCGATTGACGAGAATTTTAAACATTCGTCGAAACTTCACGGCTACCAGCATCACCGGCGATTCGATAATACTTTTGAATATCGTGTACGTAATCCATTAATCTCGTATCACAACTGAAACAACGTTACCTGACCCGGTCACGAAATCTACATAATGGCATTTAATCCGTTACAACTGACAACCCAGGCTTTGTCTATCGATAATGCGGCCGGACCTACATAATAACCGCACCGCAATTAAAAACA